ATCTTGGGTGAAGGCAGGCGGTTCTTGATGTAGATCGCCGTCATTGCCGCTTCAGCCCAGAAATACTTCTCCAGTTTTGCATGATGCAACAAGCTGCGTCCGATCGTGACGATGGTCCATATCGCGCGTTCTGCGGTGCCGTTGGTCTGGTGTGCATACGGCACCGTGATCTGTTGTTCGATACCATGATCTTCGTAGAAGGTCTTGATGGAGTTGGTCGCAAACTCATGCGCTCCATCGTGCCGAACAAACTTGATCTTCGTGCCGAACTGAGTTTGAATCTTGATGATGTGGTTCTTGATACAGTCTTCACTCTCAGACTTGGACCGCAGACAGAAGCCCTTCATGCAACCGCTAGCTTCGTCAACCACAAGCAGTAAGTATTTGCTGCCGCCGATCGAGACTTGTTCCATTGGCCCGCAGATGTCGAAGTGCAGCAACTCGAACACACCATATTGGCGTTTGTCACGATTGCTTGGGAATGGGTTTTGGACCATTTTTCCTTGCTGGCAACCGCGACACACACTTGGACCAGTCGAGTTGAGAGGTGCCTTGGCGTCCTTGATCATGCCAGTGGCCACCATCTTGCGCAGAACTTCGAGGGGTGCATGACCCATGCGCGCATGCAAGTCGATGGTCCCATTGCGTGTTGCTGCATTTGCCGATCGTTGAGGAGTCCGCAGCCAGTAAAGTCCATCGACGAGATCCGCTATTGCCACGACTTGTGTGGAATTCTTGCGCTTCACTTGCATCTTGGATCCATCGAACACGACTTGGAACCTGCCACCCTTGTTGATCTGTGGCACCGAAAGCAGATTCTTGCTCATACTTGGTACGAACAGTGCGTCCTTGATCTCGATGTCGCGTTCGTCACCATTGGGCAGAACCACCCGTTCCATGATGGTTCCCACACCCTTGATCGCAGCCTTGCTGCCATCAGCCACTGATAGTTCGCCTTCCTCTCGCTCATTCAGGCTTGCAAACTTGGCTTTGTCGTTGCAGATGTGATGCGTCGCACCGCTGTCGACTGACCACATCCCTGGTATATTCTTGCCCGTCGAAAGTCCAGCCTCCAGCGAAACCGCGAACGCAACTCGATCGTAGTTGTCGTCGTTGTTGTTGTTGTTGGTTCGCCACTGAACGTTGTTGGCTCCGCGTCCACGAGCATTGTTGCCGCCGCGTCGAGCTCCACCTTGATTTTCGTCCTTCTGCTTGGTCCAGCACCGCTCCGCCGTGTGCCCCAATTTTCCGCAGTATGTACATTGGCGAGGTTCACGCTCGGTACTGAACGCCTTCGCCTCGTCTTCGGTCTTCACCGATGTCGTCTTGTCACCTTGCCTCTTGATGTGCTCATTCGTGAGCACTCTCACGACGTCTCGCGATCGCAGTTCCGCGCTGCTCATCTCCAAGTTGAGAACGACGTTCTCGTAGCTCTTGGGGAGGCTGCGCAACAAGCAGATCGCCACGTCCTCGTCCTCCATCTTGGCGCCGATGCTGCTGAGCTTCGCGCTTATGTTGAGGACTTCGTTGCAATGATGCATCACATTGCCGCCTTCCGCCATCTCCATGCTGAACAGCTGGCGCTTCAAGTAGATGCGTCCAGCCTTCTGCGACCCGCCGTACAGCGTCTTCAAACGCGCCCACGCGACCCACGCCTCTTCACAGTCATCAACCACGTGATGATAATCCGCGCTCATGTGCAGAAGCATCAAGCCGAACGCAATGTTGTTCGTCTTGACGTAGTCGTCACTGGCGCGAGGATCGGCGAAGGTGGGGGTGGTCTCCCGGTTCACCACGTGCCACGCCGACTTGGTCAGGAACACGCCACGCATGTAGCGGCTCCACGTCGCGTAGTTGTCGCCGTCGAACTTGTCAATGGAGATCTTGGTGGTGGCATCATGAGCATAGGACATCGTGCTTGGGCTCATAACCTGTTGAGGGGTGAAAAGCTTGACGACCGAAACTGGGAGTGATGCTGGGAGTCCACTCGGAAGACCGGAGAAGACACTTGGGGGGTAGATGGAAGATTGGAAAGTGATTGATTATCGGGGCTTACTACTTACTACATGATTTATATGTGGTGCACATATAAATCATGTGAAGCGTCTCATCATCCTACGCGTCTAATCAACTATGGTAATTACCGTAAGAACTACGTCGTAAATACTAAGCTGAACAGGCGGTTCGGATTGGACCGGTCACGGTTACCAATACTGGTAGAAACCGATGACCGTCAACAGAATCTAAAAGATTCTTGCGAGATCTGCGTAGTGACAAGATCAAGCAGATCTGCGTACTCGTCACAGAGGACGAGTACGTCGCCAGTATTCGGTCGGCACAAGTGTTTAATGAGAACGAACGGGTTCTCAGTAGCTCATCGATGAACGAGAATGTCCTCGATGAGAATACTCGGATTGAGCGCTACATGTCTCAATCTTGGGATTCTATGAAGACAAATCCTTCGTACAAGGATTTGATTGATTTTAGGAATGTTTTCCCGGAATTCGTGCCATGCGAGCTGCCTAAATTTTAAGGCACTCGTCATGAGATCGAACTGAAACCCGGTTCGAAATACTGTGACATGAAGCAGTGGCCACTGCCTCGTGAACAGCTCACAGCGATCGACAAATTATTTGCCGATCGCTTAGCGGCTGGTCATGTGAGGGAATCAACATCCCCACACAGCTCTCCGACCTTTTGTGTGCGAAAGGCCAAAGCAGGTTGGCGGATAGTCCACGCGTTTGAAAAAATGAACGCTGCAACGGTACCGGCTCACCGGCCGATACCAAGGAGAACGTCATCATTGATGGTATGGCAAAAAGTACCGTATTTTCGCCCATGGATCTGATGAAAGGATTCTATCAGATCCTCATGTGTGAACGGGACATCCCGTACACTGCAGTGAGCACCCCAAGATGTATGCTCTGATAGTGGCTAGTGATGCCACAGGGGCTAAGTAACGCTCCTGCAACGTTCAACAGATGTGTTACGAAAGTGTTGCGATCGGTGCGGGACTTCGCACGGAGTTGCTTTAACGATGTCTTCGTCCATAGACGGGCTATGGATGGAAAGACGGACGTGGAGATCCATAGAACCCACGTCCGGAAGGTTCTTACACTAGTGCGAGAGCATAAGTTTCTTGCGAACCTCAAGAAGTGTATCTTCACAGCGAACGAATTATCACTTCTTGGCTGCATCGTGGGTTAAAACGGTGTACGCCCGGATATGGAAAAGATGAAGGCGATTAGCGACTGGCCTGCGCCAGTAGACGTCAAGGGACTTCGAAAGTTCCTTGGCTTAGCGGCTTACTTGTACAAGTACTCGCTCAACTACGCCGAGATGACCGTACATCTTTCTCGTCTGCTAAAGAAAAACGAGAGGTGGTCATGGAGGGCTGAGTGTCAGCACTTCTTTGAAGGTATCATGGAAAGATTGATACAATCGCCTGTGCTGGCGACTGCAGACCAGGACAGAACATTCCATGTGGTCTGTGACGCCAGCGATTTTGCAATCTGCTGCGCGTTAATGAAGTACGACTCAGACGGCGTTAAGCGCGTCGTCTGTTATCAATCGTGTCAGCTGCAAGCAGCTAATCTTAACTATCCGGTGCATGACAAGGAACTCCTTTGCCATGAAATATGCACTGGCTAAGTTTTGGGTATATCTCTCTAGAGATAGGTCCTTCATTGTTTATACTGAACATGCGTCGTTACGCACGGCCGTAAACAATCCACACCTCTCGCAACGAATGGCGAGGTGGCTGTCTTTCTTCGCGGAGTACAACTTCTCCGTCGAGTATAAACCAGGACGACTTAATGTCGTCGCTAATGCGTTGGCCCTATTTCGAGCCGACTGTTCAACACAACAGTAGGGGTGATCTCACTATTGCGAAACTACCAGTGAGTGTTCCGTCGCCGAATCGGCTGGACGACATGCGGAAGGCATTTGCAGAAGACGAGTCTCTTCTTCGGTTGATGGATTATGTAGCCAATCCATGCAGTCAAGCTTTGAAACTCTCGTCGTCTCAATTTCGCTCTTAAACCGAACGGTGTTCAGTTCGTGATGTACTGCTGTACTATACAGCAGTCAACGGCAACATACCTCGTGTCGTCGTTCCCGCTCATAATGATCTGCGATTGCACATCATGTATGAGTGCCACGATGCTCCAACAAGTGAGCATCGCGGTAGGGAAAGACTTATCTTACGGTGAGTCGTGACACATACTGGTCCCGCCAGTATGAGTTTGTGCGTAGATGCATTCGCACTTGCGAAGTTTGTCAATGGGTGAAGCCTAGTCCTTCATCCCGCGCACCCTTGCAGCCTCTACCGATCCCGGCAGAGTGTTGGCAGTCCGTATCGATGAACTTCGTCTTTGGTTTCCCAAAGAAGTTCACGAGAATACTGGTATTATTGTGTTTGTTGATCGGTTCAGCAAGATGGTACATCTTGTTGACGGGTTACCCCGTGAACTTGTGTCTGATAGGGACCCACGCTTCACAGCGGAGTTCTGGCAATCCGTGTACCGCTCACTTGGAACACGTTTGAAAAGGTCGACTTCTGACCGTTCAGAAACAGATGGTCAGACGGAAAGATTCAACCGCGTCCTCGAAGATATACTTTGAGGGTATGTCCACTCGTTGACGAGCTGGAGTGAGTTCTTGCCGATGGCGGAATTCGCCATTAACAACTCGGTGCACGCGGCGACAACGCATACACCGTTTTCGTGAATGGCCTACGCTCTTTCACATCTTCTACGCTGTAAGGAACACCCAAATAGACTTGCGAAGCGGTTGTCCCCTTCGTTTAAGACTCTAATGCAGATGCACTGGACCGACAGAAAAGAAACGCAGATAAACATGGAAAAGCAAATGTTCATTCATTTGATGAAGGAGATTTAGCTTTACTGTCTACAGTAAATCTACCAAAACACGCAGTGACAAACGTGGGCAGCAGTAAATTACTAATTGAGTACATCGGTCCATTTCATGTGTTGCGCCGAATGGGCAACGCATACATGATTGAACTGCACCGTAAGATGCGTACGCATCCTACGATTTGCGTTGGACGTCTCCGCCCGTACTATCAGTACGAGCCCGTTTCGAGATGCGAGGAACACCTCCGCGGTCGAGAGCCGAGACCACCTTCTAGTGGTCCCGTTTCAACAAGCCAGTCTGGTCGACTAGCGAATCGACCTGTTCACGCAGTTCAGCGATGTCTCGACGAGCTGCAGCTAGCTCGTCACGAAGAGAACGAATCGAACGTTTGTTATGAAGTTGCGCAAACGCAAAAGCGGCACGATCGTCCGAACGATCGTGCGCTAAGGAGTTGTAATTATCCCTTACAAGATCAGAAGGCTCATAACGCCGAGTCCGTGCATAAACCAGTTCATCTTGCAACTGTTCTGTTACACGGTTTAGCTCCTGAACATCAAGCTGATCCGACCCTCGAGACGAATCAGGTGTTCCCGCCGCCTCCACATCTTTTGATGGACTTAGGCGGTGGTCAACGCTTTCTAGTGGAGCGTATTTTGAACCACCGCAACGTGAATGGCGTCCGAACGAGTTACCTCGTCCGCTGGCGTGGCTATTCACCGGCGTGGGACAGCTAAGAGCCTCGTGCCCAGCTGATTGTTGATGTCCTGGGTCTCTTCGAGCAGTATGACGAGACCCACCCGCTGCGTTCGAAGAAGGGCCGTCAGAAAAAGACCTCCCCAAACGTGAGTACAGGGACTGCAAAGTGTCAAACCCTTCGGCCATCTCAGAATAGATGCGCGGCCTCCAGGAGGGATCATTAGTGAGGTAGGCTTCTCTAGGGGCACGGTTTGAGTTATACAGGCAACTTGGACGCAAATCACCCCACGAGAGACAGGATAATCCTGCCTCTCTTGACAGCCGGTGCAACTTGTATCGCAACCCGCTTGATTTGCGCTTGTCAAACCTTATGCGAGCTGCATCAAGTTTACCGAGCCAGGTATCACGGCCAATGCACTCGATATTATGGATGAGGGCATTCCAACCTTTGCACCAAGGCCTTACCGTCTCAAACACGGCTGCCGTTTCACTACCGATGTTTTTAAAACGCATCGGTGAAGAATTCTTATTAGCACGAATAGTTTCCGTGCTGGAATTTGGTGGGCAAATCTTCCTACAATCAAACGACCGGATTTAATCCCGTTCGGTAGTCATGACGGCCAACCGGTCCAACTCATTGGATGACGGCATTCAAGGAGACTCCGCTTGATGAGCGTGGCGCAGGACATTTCGGTCCCTGGCCTCTTGGTTGGTGTCAGCATGAGCACTGACACCAGTGACACCTCGATCACTCGAGTACTTCGCTTGTGGGTATGTATGTATAAGCGCACCACCACCATCCCACGCGTCCTATCGTTAAATAGACTCGCGTGAGGCGGAGGTTTGTCGTGATAATCGCTCGATCCGAAGATCTCGAGTATGATGCCGCCACGTTGACCAGAGCCAATCAACATGGCTCCTGCAGTGCCCGCCCCGGGTGATCCGGAGGCGTGAGGTGTCGCCTTCGAGTCAGATACATCATCCAAAGCGCCAGAATAGATGAGCTCTATTTCAGACTCATCTGGATTACGAATCGAGGTACCCGCTGCAGACGCAGCGGATGTACCTGTCGCACGTGGTGACTCACCAGGTGGACTATTCACAGCAGAAGTTGACGAATCACCTGCTGCTGAGGTGTGAGAAGAACTCTGTCCGGCTGCACGCTTGCGTGCAGCCGCCCTACTTGCTGCTGCAGTAGCAACTCGCGTGTTTTTTGAAATTATGCGATGGATTGGCAAATGAATGGGATTTGACTAAGAAGTGCTCCCTTACTTAGAGTGATCCAACGGTGGTCACCCTGTCCTGATCAATTCTAATCAATCGACGGGTGATTGATGGTTGAAGAGGGGGTGATGTAACGGGGTAGCCCTTTACATTTTATCGACACCAAATGGTGACGACAAAGATATTGTGTAGCATGACAATATCCTACCAATAAAATCCGAGATGGATAATGTTGAGGGAATGTTTTTTCTTTTGTTGACGGTCATCGGTTTCTACCAGTATTGGTAACCGTGACCGGTCCAATCCGAACCGCCTGTTCAGCTTAGTATTTACGACGTAGTTCTTACGGTAATTACCATAGTTGATTAGACGAGTAGGATGATGAGACGCTTCACATGATTTATATGTGCACCACATATAAATCATGTAGTAAGTAGTAAGCCCCGATAATCAATCACTTTCCAATCTTCCATCTACCCCCAAGTGTCTTCTCCGGTCTTCCGAGTGGACTCCCAGCATCACTCCCAGTTTCGGTCGTCAAGCTTTTCACCCCTCAACAGGTTATGAGCCCAAATACGATGTCCACTGCTCATGATGCCACCACCAAGATCTCCATTGACAAGTTCGACGGCGACAACTACGCGACTTGGAGCCGCTACATGCGTGGCGTGTTCCTAACCAAGTCGGCGTGGCACGTGGTGAACCGGGAGACCACCCCCACCTTCGCCGATCCTCGCGCCGGTGACGACTACGTCAAGACGAACAACATTGCGTTCGGCTCGATGCTTCTGCACATGAGCGCGGACTATCATCACGTGGTTGATGACTGTGAAGAGGCGTGGGTCGCGTGGGCGCGTTTGAAGACGCTGTACGGCGGATCTCAGAAGGCTGGTCGCATCTACTTGAAGCGCCAGCTCTTCAGTATGGAGATGGCGGAAGGCGGCAATGTGTTGCATCATTACAATGAGGTCCTCAACATCAGCGCAAAGCTGGCTAGCATCGGCGCCAAGATGGAGGACGAGGAGGTTGCAATCTACTTAATGCGCAGTCTGCCCAAGAGTTTCGAGAACGTGGTTCTTAAATTGGAGATGAACAGCACAGAGCTTCGATCGCAGGACGTCGTGAAAGTGCTCACAAACGAGCATGTCAAGCGGCAAGGTGACAAGACGACATCGGTGAAGACTGAAGACGAGGCGAAGGCGTTCAGTACCGAGCGTGAACCTCGCCAGTGTACATACTGCGGAAAATTGGGGCATACGGAGGACCGATGATGGACCAAGCAGAAGGACGAAAATCAAGGTGTAGCTCGACGCGGCGGCAACAATGCTCGTGGACGCGGAGCCAACAACGTTCAGTGGCGAACCAACAACAACAACAACGACGACAACTACGATCGAGTTGCGTTCGCGGTTTCGCTGGAGGCTGGACTTTCGACGGGCAAGAATATACCAGGGATGTGGGCAGTCGACAGCGGTGCGACGCATCACATCTGCAACGACAAAGCCAAGTTTGCAAGCCTGAATGAGCGAGAGGAAGGCGAACTATCAGTGGCTGATGGCAGCAAGGCTGCGATCAAGGGTGTGGGAACCATCATGGAACGGGTGGTTCTGCCCAATGGTGACGAACGCGACATCGAGATCAAGGACGCACTGTTCGTACCAAGTATGAGCAAGAATCTGCTTTCGGTGCCACAGATCAACAAGGGTGGCAGGTTCCAAGTCGTGTTCGATGGATCCAAGATGCAAGTGAAGCGCAAGAAATCCACACAAGTCGTGGCAACAGCGGATCTCGTCGATGGACTTTACTGGCTGCGGACTCCTCAAAGATCGGCAAATGCAGCAACACGCAATGGGACTATCGACTTGCATGCGCGCATGGGTCATGCACCCCTCGAAGTTCTGCGCAAGATGGTGGCCGCCGGCATGATCAAGGACGCCAAGGCACCTCTCAACTCGACTGGTCCAAGTGTGTGTCGCGGTTGCCAGCAAGGAAAGATGGTCCAAAAACCATTCCCAACCAACCGTGACAAACGCCAATATGGTGTGTTCGAGTTGCTGCACTTCGACATCTGCGGGCCAATGGAACAAGTCTCGATCGGCGGCAGCAGATACTTACTGCTTGTGGTTGACGAAGCCAGCGGTTGCATGAAGGGCTTCTGTCTGCGGTCCAAGTCTGAGAGTGAAGACTGTATCAAGAACCACATTATCAAGATTCAGACTCAGTTCGGCACGAAGATCAAGTTTGTTCGGCACGATGGAGCGCATGAGTTTGCGACCAACTCGATCAAGACCTTCTACGAAGATCATGGTATCGAACAACAGATCACGGTGCCGTATGCACACCAGACCAACGGCACCGCAGAACGCGCGATATGGACCATCGTCACGATCGGACGCAGCTTGTTGCATCATGCAAAGCTGGAGAAGTGTTTCTGGGATGAAGCGGCAATGACGGCGATCTACATCAAGAACCGCCTGCCTTCACCCAAGATCGACCACAAGACTCCGTTCGAAATCGTGTACAAGTCGAAACCAAGTGTCAAGCACATGCGCGTGTTTGGATGTCGGGCGTTTATCCTGACACCAAGGGAGAAGCGATTGAAGTGGGACCCGAAGGCTCGTGAAGGGATATTCATGGGCTACGAAGAAGCGTCAAAAGCTTATCGAGTATACGACATTGAGGCGGAACAAGTGGTGATCAGTCGTGACATCACCTTCGACGAATCGACTTTTGACTTTTCGATGGACCGACCAAGTGACGATGATGAAGATGCGGAGTTGGACCTCGACCTCCTGGCGATCAACGAGGACGACGTGCGTCAAACCGTCTACAAGCAGACTGGCAAGCGCAAGAGTGAAGCAAGACCCGGCATGTCACGTTCAGCTCGGCCTCGAACTGGGTTGGAACAAGCAAGTGCACCGGAACACGTCTCCAACCGTCACCAGAAACGACGATCAAGTGCTCCAGAAACGATGTCTGATGACGAAGAAGATGCAAGCGTCTACGATCAAGATGACGACTCGACGCCTCCAACATTTTGGCGTGCAAGTGCAAACGCAGTGGAAGCAACGGACCTAGCAGAACCTGTGACTTTTCAAGACGCGATCAATGGTCCTGATCAAGCTCACTGGCGAAATGCTGTGAAGGCGGAACTCAAGTCGATGCATCTTCGTGGAGTTTTCCGTGCAGCAAAACTGCCAAGAGGCCAAGGCGCGATCGGCACCAAGTGGGTGTTCAAGATCAAGCGCAAAGCGGATGGATCGGTCGAGAAATACAAGGCGCGTCTCGTTGCCAAGGGCTTCAAGCAGAAGTACGGCATCGACTACACAGAGACGTTCTCGCCCGTGGTCAAGTACGTGACACTGCGTATGGTGATCGCGATCACCAAGTATTTCGACTGGCCACTGGACCAACTCGATGTGGTGACAGCCTTTCTCTACGGAGTGATGAAGGAGAAGGTGTACTGCGTGATACCAGAAGGCGTCGAGATGGATGGCGACTTCGACTGTCTCGAGTTGGTGAAGGCGATCTACGGTCTCAAGCAAGCTTCACGTGTGCGGAACGAGACTTTCGACGAGTTCGTATGCTCTATCGGTTTCGAAGCGTCGGCGTTCGACCCATGTCTCTACATCAAGGTTGTCGACGGTCACTGTGTGCTCGTGCTGGTCTACGTGGATGACGTGTTGGTCACCGGCAGCTCGCTCGAGTTGATTGCGCAAACGAAGGCCGACCTCAAGACGCGTTTCGAGATGACCGACAGTGGCAAGTGTACTTTTGTACTGGACATCGAACTGGTGGACGAATCGGATGGCAGCGTGACGATGTGCCAGCGACGGTATGTCAACGACATCCTCAAGCGCTTCGGCATGGATGAGTGCAAGGCCACAGCAAGTCCGGTCGACTTGAGCACTCGGCTTGTCGCAAGCACCGAAGCGGCCAAGATCGACGTTCCGTTTCGTGAAGCTGTGGGAGCTTTGATGCACTTGACGACTGCGACGCGCCCGGACATTGCGTATGCTGTAGGGTACGTCTCGCGCTTCATGGAGAATCCGCAGCAAGAACATTGGACGGCGGTGAAGCGCATCTTTCGTTACTTGCAAGGGACCAAGTCGCACGGACTCCGCTTCCAGCCAAGCGACAAGATCGACTTTCGTGGCTACACGGACGCGGACTGGGCCGGCGACCACGCTGATCGCAAGTCGACTTCGGGTTACACTTTCATGCTGATGGGTGCTCCTGTGAGTTGGGGAAGCAAGAAGCAGTCAAGTGTGTCGCTGTCGACGAGTGAAGCGGAATACATCGCACTGAGTCTGGCCATCCAGGAAGGCAAGTGGGTGCATCGCCTGCTATGCGAGATTTTGGCGGCCGCAAACGAACCAGGACCGGACCTCGTCATCTGTGAAGACAACCAGTCGTGCATCAAGATGACGAAGAATCCGGTGAATCATGGCCGCGCCAAGCACATCGACATCAAGTACCATCACATCCGTGATGAGGTCAAGCGCGGTGAAGTGCAGCTCGAGTATTGCGAGACTTCCGTGATGATGGCGGACATCATGACTAAGGGACTTTCGGGACCTCGTCACAAGGACTTGACGACGGCTCTTGGCATTCGTGCAAGTTCGGATTGAGGAGGCGTGTTGACGGTCATCGGTTTCCTACCAGTATTGGTAACCGTGACCGGTCCAATCCGAACCGCCTGTTCAGCTTAGTATTTACGACGTAGTTCTTACGGTAATTACCATAGTTGATTAGACGCGTAGGATGATGAGACGCTTCACATGATTTATATGTGCACCGCGTATAAATCATGTAGTAAGTAGTAAGCCCCGATAATCAATCACTTTCCAATCTTCCATCTACCCCCAAGTGTCTTCTCCGGTCTTCCGAGTGGACTCCCAGCATCACTCCCAGTTTCGGTCGTCAAGCTTTTCACCTCTCAACATCTTTTAGGATAGTATTTATGATCTGCCCAAAGATTGGTTGATAAAAGGCAAATCAACCATAGATTACCACCAATCGCTGCTAGACGCGCGCAATGAGTGGTGAGCAGGTTGTCGTCATACGAAATGTCGACTAGTGTAGTTAGATAAAGACTAAAGTTATATTGATAGCTTAACTATATGAAAAACAGTTCTCTTTTACCCTTTACTCAGCTTAGTTGTTGAGTAGATAAGCTTCCTCTGCACGTACTTGTACGTGAAGTTTTGCGTTACCCCAAACAAAGGGTGGCCCGTTACACAATAGGGTACATTTAAAGACATCGTTCTATTTGGCTCACGGGTGGGACGCTATAACCACCCTGGAGGCAACGTTGCTAGTGTGAAAATCAGATGTAACGCGTCGGAAGCTCGAAGGTGGAGGTATCACATTCAGATTCACTACCAGCGTGTGATTGAACAGGTGAACAAGCATTTGCGGTCGACCTGTCAAGCCCGGGTGCTAACTTATAATGAACAAGTATTCGGTCACAATGTTCGGCTGGGTACCCAAGTGTGGCTCTACCTAGATCCTGTGAAGAAAGGGTACGCTTAGAAATTGGCTCATCTCTGGTACGATCCGTTCCAATTTTGGAGTTGGCTGGTGAATATGCTGCGCAGTTAAAAGTAAGGGATTAACAGTATAGAATATTCCCGATCGTTCACATTTACAAGCTGAAAGGGGTCAGGGGTCCCTGATCGCCCAGATGACCGGCTGACTGTGAAGGGGGCCGACCGGATCGACTTTGATGATTGTTTATTACCAGAGGATAGCTGGACGCGTGAACTGGAGAAAGGCGAATACGAAGTGGAAGAGATCTTAGAAAGCCTGGTCAGCAAGAAAACGCGATACGGTCGGCAGCGGTGCGAGTTCTTAATCCTATTGAAGGGTCACGCAGACCCCTCACGGGCTAAAGAAGTAGGTTTGAATTGTGGAGCTTTATTACGAAATTTTAACGCAAGATAACACATAACAACCGTTTCGAGGTGATGCAGAGTCACGAAGACTAGTTGCGGGGGAGGAGACCGGTCGCCTGCTCATTGGCCAGGTCTTCTGTGGATCGGCCTTGATTCGATCGGAGCAAATGAGTGTAGCCTAAGGCACATCGTGGTTTATTAAGAGTCGGCCACAGCTTTTCATGGGTAATCATGGCAGTATAACGCTGGACGACAAAGGAAAGGATATGGTAGAGTGGCTAACATGCAACGAGCGGATAATTTGGATGTAAAAAGATTGGAAGCATGTTGTTTTAAGCGATTACGCCAACGAAGGAGGGGTGAACTTGTTCTTAAGGCAGGCGACCTTGGTTTGTGGGTGGAGCACAGAGATAAGTCGGTACTGGGAGATTCATGGCCATGTAAAGTCCGAGAGATGAAGAGCGGCCAACAGGTCGACCCCTCTTCACATTCAGGGAACCAATAAACTACGCGGCGAGGGCGGGGCAGGTGCCAGAAGAAGGGGTCCAGGAAGATGTCGATGTAACATTGATGAACAGCCATCCCTGCGAATATCCGACCAACGATCTCACGCCACGCCAACAGCGCCCTGTTCCGCCGTTTGTTCCGGACGTTGTAGTATGAAGTGAAGAAGGGGCTGGCGCGGGCTTGGTCCTTCGAGATCCAGAGGCAGTGGGTAGCCTCTCAGAGCTCCTGAGCTTGTTCGGCCACAAAAGCCGTGTAAGTTTCAACCAGGCCGGCAAACCAGCTAACCACTTTAAAAGACACAGAGGGAAGAGAGACCTTGACCGCCAACCAATGTATTGAAGCCATCGGGCTCCCGACCATGGGATGAGTGACCAGCAAAGAACACCACTTCGCTGGACGATTAAGATTTCCGTCTGGTGGTCCAAACCAACCCCAAAGCAACTCTAATTGATCGGTCAGGTCGCCATGCGTCATGGGGACGATCGGCCAGGAGCTGACCAGGCCGACCGACCAAGGCGCCAGTGAATACCCTCGCTTGAGTCGAACCTAGGATCATGACATTTGGCGGAAGCGAGTGCTCGTCGCTGTGTATGAAGGTCAACATACATAACAAGTAAACGTTATCGATATAGATCGCTCTCAACCGCTCGTCGGTCGGCCTGGTCACCCAAGGTGGGCCCCGGTCACTTGTATATCTACCTGGTCACCCGTGCGTCGACTTGGCCCTTCAAGATCTGGTGGCTCCTGGTCACTCATTATAGAGAACCCAGGTGCAAGGCAAAGATGGAGTAAATCTAAATGATAGGACAAATTTAAACACTACTCAATTTGCGATCTTAGTTGCACGACGTGTCGTGCGCTAAGAAATGTGTGAGTCTACCGACCTGTTCCGGGCCAGGGATCTGTTTCGTCCATCCATCGAATATACAGTAGTCAGTAAGACCCAAGTATCATTAGAACCCCAGAAAGTATATTGGCCTGTGGGATCGTGGAGTAGCACCCCCCCACTCAAGCCTGCTATAGAAAGCGGTCTCCATACCATAGTGGTAAAGGAGGAGAAACGCAACGGCCAGGCGGAACACACAACTGAGACAAGTAAGGTCAGGCACTAACAGTACCTGCGACAACTGGTAAGAAGACCACTCTCGACGAAGTCAATTTAGTGGCCGCCTAAATTTTGGACCTCGACTAAAATATATCCACTCGACCCCTCAAGGTTGACCTCCATCAAGGCCGACGTTTACAATCATCATCAAGTCCTCCGAAAAGTGGAACCCGCCATCCGACGGGTACAAAAGTTGAGTCAATGTACACAAGCGACATCGGGGTACCCCCTCCGACCGTCGGCCCGGTACAGTGAGTGGTTTGGGGTCTCGTCAAACCTTTTTGACAACCCACTCCGCGACAAGTTTAATATGGTCGAGGGTCCATCCAAAGTGCTTGGCAATTGCAATGATCATGTGTAGCGGCACATACTTGACCACGGGCGAGACTGTTTACGTGTAGTCGATGCCATACTTCGGTTTGAACCCTTACGCAACAAGGCGCGCCTTGTACTTCTCGATATTCCATCCGTTTTATGCTTATTTTTTTAAGACTCACTTCGTATTAATGGCGCGTCGTCCGTTCGGCTTCTGGCTGCACGAAACGCACCTCGATGTCGCATTGACTCGAGCTCCGCACGAATGTCTTTTCGCCAGTGCACTTGGTCAGGGCCGCTCACTGCTGCCTCAAATGTTGAGGGCTCCAACAAATTCGCTGCTGTTTCAGCGGCATTCGCACTCGCGCGTCAAGACAAAGGCGGGGTTAATTTATCATAATCCTTCATTTTCTTATCTTCTTCTTGACGTTACGAGTTGCTGTCCGGCGCTCTTTATTCTTCTTTTCCAGGTCGTTGACGCACTGCACGCGGTCGTGGAGTTGCTGTATCTTCATCACTGAGGAGGCTTCTGCGCTTGCCTGCTTATTTGTACTCCACCTAACGAGGCCCCTCATCATTGAGGTCAAGCCATTCGAAGTCCAGGTAATCGGCATCTTCATCAGTGATCGGCGGCGAAAGTCCAAAGGTGGACTCATCGAAGTTGACATCGCGACCGATAACCACCTGCCCTGCGTATACCAAAAATATGCCAGTGCAAGCCTTTGGATACCACTTGAGTCGATTCTCTTTAGGCGTCAGTATGTACGTCTGACATCCGAATGTTCGCATGTGCTTGACGCTTGGTTTCAAGTTGTAGACGATCTCAAACGGGGTCTTGTGCACGACTTTAGGTGACGGCAGTCGATTCTTGACGTAGATGGCCGTCATCGCTGCTTCGGCCCAGAAACACTTGTCCAGTTTGGCATGATGAAGCATGCTGCGGCCGATCGTGACAATAGTCCTAATGGCACGCTCTGCTGTTCCGTTTGTTTGATGTGCATACGGCACCGTTGTCTGCTGTTCAATGCCTTCGTCTTCGTAGAACAGCTGAAGCGAGTTGGTTGCAAAATCGCGGACTCCGTTGTGACGCAAAAACTTGACCTTCTTACTGAACTGCGTCTGTACCATAGTGATGTACTTCCGGATGTAGTCTTCACTCTCGGACTTTACTCGTAAACAAAAGCCCTTCATGCATCCACTAGCTTCGTCTACGATCAGTAGCAAATATATTCTGCCACCGATCGTATCCTTTTCCATGGGACCACAGATGTCCAGCTGAAGCAGCTCGAATTCATTGTAGCTGCGCTTGCCGCGGTTGCTGGGGAATGAGTTTGGACCATTTTTCCTTGCTGACACCTCGACATGCAGTTATTCCACCCGACTTGAGAGGGACTCGCACATCCTTGATCATGTTGGTAGTGATCATCCTGCGAAGTGCCTCGACTGGAGCGTGACCCCTTCGCGCATGTAGGTAAGTTTCCACTTGTTGTCACATCTGCTGATCGCTGAGCCGTACGAAGCCAGTAAATATCATCCACGAAATCCACTGTCGCCACCACTTGCTGCTAGTTCTTGCGAGTCGAATACATCTTGGACCCGTCAAACACGACTTGGAACATGCCATGCCTGTTAGTCTGTGGCACCGAAAGCACTTTCTAGCTCCTACTTGGAACGTATAACGCGTTCTTGATCTCGATCTCGCGCTCTTCACTGTTGAGCAGAACCACCTTTTCCATGATTTGGCTCCCACACTCCTGATGACCACCTTGTTACCATCAGCCACCAATAGTTCGCCCTCATTGCGCTCTGCCAAACTTGCAAGTTTGGTCTTGTCGTGGCAAATGTGGTGTGTTACACCACTATCGACGGCCCACATTCCAGACACGTCCTTGCTCGTCGAAAATCCACATTCGAACGAGACTGCAAACGCCACTTGATTGTAGACATTGCCTTCATCATGATGTCCCCACTAGACGTTGTTAGCCCGCGTCCACAACCATTGCCGCCGCGTCGGGTTCCTCGACCTTTATTCTTCTGCTTGGTCCAGCAACGATCCACCGTATGCCCCACCTTTCCACAGTATATTCATTGTTAGGGCTCACGCTCGGTGCTGAATGCCTTACTTACATCTTCAGCCTTCGCCGTAGTCGCTGATACTGTCCCTTTTTCTTTTTGACGCTTGGCGTGCTCATTCGTCAGCACCTTCACCACGTCCTGTGTATTGTGTTCGAAACTGCTCATTCCATGCTGAGTATTTTGGTAAGGTGCTTGTCAAGGTGAATGCAAAATGCAAAGTGAATGTATGCAGGTCCTTAGCTTGCAACTTCTTCTTGACGATCTCAGCCTGATGAAATCTTCGACTAGACAACATTTATGGACACTACGCGCATTGCTCTTTTCATAGTCGCGCATGAGCAATCTACTCTATACAGATACTCATCGGATAGTCGCACATGGGTAATCCACTTTATGCACCTTACTCATCAGACGGTCGCATGTGATTAATCCATACAACTGGTATTACTCATGGGATAAGCGCACTACTGATTACCAGTATGTACCTTTCTTTTGTCGCTCGCTGGACGAGGAGCATCGTCAACAACAAAGTGCCACATTTCGTAGCTCTTTGGGAGACTTAGCAGCAAGAAGATCGCAATGTCACTGTCCTTAATCTTCTCACCGATGTTGCTAAGCTTGGTGACGATATAGAGGACCTCGTTGCAGAGATGCATGAAGTTCGTGTATTCAGCCATTTATGTGCTAAGTTGTAGTCGCTTCAGGTGGATGCGTCCTGCCTTCTGCGACCCATCGTAAATTGTCTTCAGGCGTGACCACGCGACCCCCGTTTCCTTACAGTTGTCTACAACATGTGGTGCTAATCCGCACCCATGTGTAGCAGCATCTTACCAAACGCGATGTTGCTCGCCTTCACGTATTTAACGGACGCCCACGTGTCGGTGAAGCTTGGAGTCTTTTTACGGCTTACGACGTGCCAGACGGACTTCGTCAACAACACGCCGCGCATGTACCGACTCCAAGTCGCATAGTTACCTCCATTAAACTTATCAACGAAGACGTAAAGGATGCGTAGATGGTGGACGACATGGCGCTAAAGCTCATAATCTGTTGCATTCTAGAGGACGAAGAGAAGCGAAGGGAGCGGAAGACACTTGCTCACTAGTTGGAAGATTCGAATGTGATTAATTATCAGAGCTTACTACATGATTCAGATGTGGTGCATATAAATCTTGTGTTACGTCTCATCATCCTACGCGTCTCATCAACTATGGTAATTACCGTTAGAACTACGTCGTAAATACTAAGCTGAGTAGGCTGTTCGGATTGAACCTGTCTTGGATATTAACACTGGTAAAAAACCGATGACTGTCAACACGCGCATAGAGGTCCTCGAATCGCAATCGTGATGCAGCATTTGCGGACCGTTCAAACGTTCGTAGCCAGTACGATACATTTACGAGCTCTGCTATCTCCACCACTTGCATGGTGCCTTTACGTGTCACGTTCATCTTGGTTCCATCGAATATCACTTTTGGAACTGTCCCCTTTTGTGAATCTGAGGAATGAACAGCAGATTCTTGTTCACCCTCGGTACGTAGAGCGCGTTCTTGATCTCGATTTCACGGTCGTCGGGAAGAACCACATGCCCACGGTGTCCCCGATTCTCATGATTGCAGCCTTGCTCCCATTCGCTACCGATACTTCGCCTTCATCGCTTTCACTGAGAGCTGTGAACTTGTTCTTTTCGTAGTAGATATGGTGCGCCTCGCCGCTGTCGACTGCATACATACCAGACTTGCCCTTGCCAGAAGAAAGTTCGCATTCAAGCTAAACATCAAACGCCACTCGGCCGAAGAAATGGTTGTTGCTGTATTCCTGCCACTGAACTCGATCGACTCCGCGTCCACGGGCATTGCCGCCGCGTTGAGCTCCTCGATTTTCTTTCTTTTGCTTGGTCCAGCATCGGTCCACCGTATGCTCCTTTTTACTCCAGAAGGTACACTGGCGAGACTCACGCTCGGTACTGATGGTCTTGCTTGCTTCCTCAGTGTTCACCGACGTCTTCTTCTCGCCTTGTCTCTTGATATTCTCATTCATGAGCACCTTCTCAATGTCATGCGTCTGCAGTTCCGCGCTGCTCATCTCCAACTTAAGTACTACGTTTTCGTAGCTGTTGCGAAAAATGCGCAGCAAGCAGGTCGCTACGTTCTTGTCGTCCATCTTGACCCCTTTACTGCTGAGGTTAACACTGATGATAAGAACTCCATTGCATTAATGTAATATGTAAGCTCCTTCCACCATTTCCATACTGAAAAGCTGGAGCTTGAAGAATGCACCCAGCCTTCAGCGATCCACTGTATAGCGTCTTCAATCACGTTTATGCCACCCATTGTCCTTCGCAACTATCGACCACGTGATGTTAGTATGAGTCCATGTGCAGCATCATGAGTTAAAAGGCTATGCTGCTGGTCTTGATGCACTCATCCATCGCGCGAGGGTCCTGTTGAAGGTGTGACACGGGAGTGATGAGAAGACCGGAAGAGACCGGAGGGAGCGAAGAGGCTTGAGGAGCGGAGCAGAGAAGACTTGCTCGGCAGAAGGAGAATTCGAAAGTGATTGATTATCGGGGCTTACTACTTACTACATGATTTATATGTGGTGCACATATAAATCATGTGAAGCGTATCATTATCCTACGCGTCCAATCAGCTATGGTAATTACCGTAAGAACTACGTCGTAAATACTAAGCTGAACAGGCGGTTCGGATTGGACCGGTCACGGTTACCAATACTGGTAGAAAACCGATGACCGTCAACACGCCCCCTCAATCCGAATGCTCACGAATGCCGAGAGCCGCCGTCAAGTCCTTGTGGCGTGGCCCGTGAAGTCCCTTCGTCATGATGTCCGCTAACATCACCGCAGTTTCACAGTACTTGAGCTTCACTTCACCGCGCTTGACCTCATCACGGATGTGATGATACTTTATGTCAATGTGCTTGGCACGGCCGTGGTTGACTGGGTTCTTCGTCATCTTGATACACGACTGATTGTCTTCATGGATCATGAGCTCCGGTCCTTCTTCATTGGCAGCCATCATGATCTCACAAAGTAGACGATGAATCCACTTGCCCTCTTGAATCGCCAAGCTGAGTGCGATGTATTCGGCTTCACTCGTGGACAACGAAACACTTGGCTGCTTCTTGCTGCCCCAACTCACTGGCGCACCCAACAGCATGAATACGTAACCAGACGTCGACATGCGATCAGCGAGGTCACCGGCCCAGTCTGCATCCGAGTAGCCACGGAAGTCGATCTTAGCATTAGGCTTGTAGCAGATTCCGTGCATCTTGGTGCCTTGTAGGTAGCGGAAGATGCGCTTGACCGCAACCAAGTGTTCTTCTCGGGGGTTCTCCATGAATCGCGACACATAGCCCACGGCGAACGCAATATCCGGGCGCGTTGCAGTGGTCAGGTGCATCAACGCACCAACAGCTTCGCGAAAAGGAGCATCGACCTTGGTGGCTGCATCACTTGAAACAAGTCGAGAGCTCATGTCGACTGGACTTGCGACGGCCTTGCAATCATCCATGCCAAAGCGCTTGAGTATGTTATCTACATACCGACGCTGGCATAATGTTACACTTCCATCTGCGCCGTCCAAAAGCTCGATTCCAAGCACAAATGCACACTTGCCGCTGTCAGTCATCTCGAATCATGTCTTCAGGTCGGTCTTGGTGCGTGTAATTAGCTCGCATGAGCTACCGGTGATCAACACGTCATCCACATACACCAGCAGCAGCACGCATTGCCCTTCCACAATCCTTACGTAGAGACACGGGTCGAGGCTTGACGCTTGGAATCCAATAGCACACACGAACTCGTCAAACGTTTCGTTCCATACGCGCGACGCTTGTTTTAGTCCGTAAATTGCCTTCACCAACTCCAGACAATCGAAGGAGCCCTCCAATTCCACGCCTTCAGGGATGGCGTAGAACACTTGTTCCTTCATGACACCATACAGGAAAGCTGTCACCACGTCGAGTTGGTCGATGGTCCATCCGAAATACTTGGCGACTGCAATCACCATGCGCAGCGTAACGTACTTGACGACGGGCGAGAATGTTTCCGTGTAGTCCATCCCAAATTGTTGCTTGAAACCCTTTGCCACAAGACGCGCCTTGTACTTGTCAATTGATCCGTCCGCTTTGCGCTTGATCTTGAAGACCCACTTCGTGCCAATGGCGCGATGTCTTTTAGGTAGCTTGGCTGCGCGGAATACTTCACAAAGTCGCATCGACTCAAGCTCCGCACGGATAGCTTCGCGCCAATGCACTTGATCAGGACCGCTCACCGCAGCTTCAAAAGTCGATGGCTCGGATGAGTCCACTGCTGTTTCGATGGCGTTCGCACTCGCACGCCAAAACACAGGCGGAGTCGATGCATCAGCATTCTCTATATCTGCATCTTCTTCTTGGTGGGTCGTGTGAATGTCTGGCGCACTTGATTCTTCTAGTCCAGGCCGTTGACGCACTGTGCGCGTGGGTGGAGTTGGTCCTCCTTAATCATGGGGAAGACTCTTGCGCTTGCCTGTTTGCTTGTACTGCGCTTGACCTGGCGCTTCATCATCCAGATCGAGGGAGTCGAAGTCAATGTCATCGGCGTCTTCAGCGGTGGCTGGTGGTGAAAGTCCAAAGGCGGACTCGTCAAAGTTGACATCGCGACTGATGACTACCTGCCCCGCCTCGATGTCATAGACGCGGTACGCTTTGGATGCTTCTTCGTAGCCCAAGAATATCCCATTGCGAGCCTTGGAGTCCCACTTGAGCCGCTTCTCCTTCGGTGTCAGTATGTAAACCTGACAACCGAACACCCGCATGTGCTTGACACTTGGCTTGGAGTTGTGGACGATCTCGAACGGAGTCTTGTGCATAACTTTAGGCGACGGCAGACGGTTCTTGACGTAGATTGCCGTCATTGCTGCTTCTGCCCAGAAGCACTTCTCCAACTTCGCATGGTGGAGCATGCTGCAAAAAATTGTGACGATAGTCCGAATGGCGCGCTCCGCCGTGCCGTTGGTCTGGTGTGCATATGGCACCGTCGTCTGCTGCTCAATGCCTTCATCTTCGTAGAATTCTTGAAGCGAGTTGGTTGCGAACTCGCGGGATCCGTCGTGTCGGACGAGCTTGACCTTCTTGCCAAACTGTGCTTGCACCATCTTGATGTATCGTGTGATGTAGTTTTCACTCACCGACTTCACACGTAGACAGAAGCCCTTCATGCATCCACTGGCTTCGTCAACGATCAGCAGTAGGTACTTGCTGCCAACCAGAGAATCATCTCCATGGGTCTGCAGATGTCGACGTGAAGTAGCTCGAAGGTGTCGTATCTGCGCTTGTCCTGGTTGCATGGGAATGTTTTTTGGACCATTTTCCCTAGTTGACATCCTCGGCATGCGCTTGATCCACTTGACGAGAGAGGTACCTTTGTGGTGAAGTCGATCTTACAAAATTGCTTGTATGAGTGTCGATCTTCCACTTGCCCAGACTTGCCGACTCACGGAGGGGGTAACCATGATCCGTGCCTCGTTGTATGACCTTGTGCTCACCTTGTGTACCCGTCGGTTGGGCTGGCTTGAGCTCTTCGTAACGGCCTTGGGAGATGTCGATCTCGCTGAGAGGTTGGGTTGAGGGTTCGCTTCCGGTGCGGAAATATTCACACCACGAACGGGGGTTCTGCGATCCCGATCTTGGATCGCACCGATCTTGATTTTTCTTCGAGATCGGGGTCTTTGCTGTGCGGAAATCTTCACTCAGCAAATAAAAGTCCTGCGTCGATCTTGCCTTGGGATCGGTCTGATCTGGTCTTGGGATCGGCCGATCTTGCCGGAAGTGCGCAATTTGGGTAGATCGGTGTCTTGTTTCGCCAAAATGAAACGTGCCGATCTGTCCAGGGGATCGCTTCGATCCTGCTCGGTCTTGTCTTGAACGCCTTGTCCAGATCTTCTGACCACTTGAGCCGTCTCGCGATCCTGTGTCCAAAATCCTTTTCCTTTTCCGTTGTGTGCTGCTACCCTAGCAGTTGAGTTGAGTGTGAGTACTTGATCGATCCGGGCCAGATATCCCGGGATCGCTCTTCTCGATCTTGGCCAACAATCCAAGATCGGTCTTCTGTGTCCCTGTAACACGCGTGCCTTAACCCGCCGGGGAAGCCAAATCAATCTTGCCTGGAGAAGAGGGGAGGATAACGTGCGTCGTGAGCAGAAGAAGTAGAGTTCAAGTCTGTTTATTAACCAACCAAATTACTATCCAACCTACCCTTAAGCCTATTCTTAACTATAGGTCACTCTTCAAACCGATATCGCCTTGAATCTGGTTCGCCCCCTTACCACGTGTCGAAATTCCGTGCCCTGTACTCCAATGATAGCGCCAATATCCCCGATATCGTACCTAGAGCACCAAATGGACCAAAATCTCCTATATGGTACCAAATACCCATTCTTGGCACCCAAGTACCCAATATATGACCCAAAATGCCGAATGTGTCCAAATTCACTTTGCGACGTCAATTCGGACAGCTTCCACTGGCTCTTTCGGCATGAAACTTCTTGACATCACTTAGTGACCTCTATCAAGTATATTCCACATGATCCAGTATCTTCATCAACCATATATTCATGATCAGTGTGGAACATGACCGATCTGTCATCCAATATCGAGATGTTGGAGGTCGATCCGGTCTAAATCGGCAATTAACACTTTTTCATCTCCTCATACGTGCTTCAATATCATCCTCCAGTGTTATCCAATCGACAACTTCATTCATACGTCTCGACATCGGTTTCCTTGGCTCCCCTGAGTATGCAAAACTTCCAGATCGGTGTATAATTAACCAAAATCAGTACTCCCAATTTAGGATCGGTAAAGAGTATCACCGATCCGTATGGTGTTGCACCTTCTTTGCCGATTCACCGACCCGTACCACCTGGTCCCAGATGCACTTTGGGGAGTCACCTTGTCCCAGATGTGTCAATTCTCCAACAAACCGTTTCCACAACATGTCGATCTGCAATCTGATCTTAGCCTGCTTCAATGTACGTATACTTCTTCTTGACCGGCATTCCAATGAGCTGTATGACTTCATCCCGATGTCTGGTTCCAGATCGCCCCATAACATTCTGCAAGATGTTACACCTTCGTCGCGGGTCATATCCCATCACCCGGTCCCAGATCCTTGTCCCAGATTGTTCCATGTAAATCGTTCCAGATCGCTCCGTCCCAGGTCGACCCATACCCATTAGTCTAACGACAGTTGGATCGGTTCGCCGATCCCGTTAAGATCATCTTCCACCTCCGTATTGGATCGCCAAGTCTCATGGCCTCCTTTTCCACCAGTAAGCGGCGCTTTAAAGGTGTGGCCACCGATCCTCGTACAAAATTTGAGTAGTGACTTTGCCACAACCGCCCCCTGTACTGAAGTCTTTTGTACAGCAATTGACCTCAGTACAGTCACTCATCAACTTCGTTCCAAGCACTCAAGCCCGTCTCATGGCCTCTCCGACGCATCCACCCACCTCGCCGATCTCTTCAGAAGGATACCATGTTTCTGTCTCCGGATCGCGACCTGTCGCCCGGATCGCCCGATCTCGGAGGACACACCCCAGCGGTCCCCGATCGGCATGGGTCTCCGCGCCATCTAGGCCCAACCGGATCGCCTACAATCCCCACGGGATCGCCGGATCGACAGCCGACCAGACCCTCGTCTCCATCCCGAGACTTGCCATCTAGATCGCCGGATCGCGGGTGGTATGCTCCTATCGTCCCAGATCAACATGAGTCTCTCAGTAATCCCAGATCGGTCGGATCGCTCTCGACCGACGCGGAATTATCAGATCGTTCTTCCGAGCCATTCCCGCTTCCCACTCCTCCGGCGGCCCCAGATGCGTCCAGATCCGACATCCCGGCCGCTAATGAATCTCGTGAAAGGTCTGCTCCAGCTGTGGGCATCACCGACTTCGTTTCCAGAGTCTCTGCCGACGACGTTCGTCTCACGATGGCCACGATCTCGTATTTGTGGGATCGAGAGGCTACCTTCTGCAGCCAAGCCGACACCATTCATGCGCTCCAGCAATCCTACCGAGATGCCGTCGTCCGGGGGGATCGCTTACAAGACGAGCTTGATTCGCTATACAGATCAGCCGCTCCTTTTGTCTCCTTCGTCCAGCTTCGATATGACTGGATGCAGGGCCGCTACGTCGACGCAGTGCATTCTTTGAGTGATTGCAATCGAGCTCTGCGGACATATCGAGATCAATCGGAGGAGATTCGTCGGCTACGCACTTTGATATGTGCCAACGACGAGGCTCAGGGGAACTTGGAACGACAGGTGGATGCTTTGAGGGCTCAGCTTCATTCGCTCCAAGCCGAACTCAATTCTCTCCGACAGCAGCGTGATCAGCTGACCATGGACAAATCCTTCCTTCACATAGATTTTTTGCACTTGAAGGAGCAATTGGCTCAGTCTCAGGAGGAGATCGCAGATGGACTGTCTTCGATCAGCGATCTCATGCAACAAGTGGATGGTTCGACTCCCCTAGAGGGTCAGTTGGCACTTTCGCAGGCGGAGAACGCCAACCTACGTCGTCAGCTTGCGGAACACCTCGAGATATACGACCAGTTGCAGGTGGTGGAGCATGATCGGGATCAGGCTATAGCTGAACACCGAGCTCTCCTTGACACACTGAACAGTGCTATACTCGGATCCCGGTCGTCTGCGTTGATCGCTCGATCGACGCCTAAGAGTGCTACTCCGGTCGGATCGCCCCCTGCTCCCACTACCCCGGGATCGAGATCGATTGCCCGTAGGTCCAGATCGAGATCGTCCGGCCCGCCTGCCAAGCGTCGGCGTATTCAACCAATGTCAAAATCCAGTGATTCTTCCACCGCCCGTGTGGCTTCCCGGCTATTGTCGTTGAACCCTTCAATACCTTTGAACAAACTTCCCTGATTGGCCCCACCCGAGCCTCCACCCAATTCTTCTTGTTCTCCGCTTTCGTCCGCGGCTTCTGGGACTGGATCGGGAAGTGAGGAGCTGCCGAGTCGGATTCTAGCTCGGATGATTTGACTCGTGCTGCATTATCCCAATCGAGATCGGCCTCTCGTCGTCAACCTAGATCGGATGCCCGATCTTCGACCCCGAACCCCTCTCCGGCCGCTCGGGTTGTTCCCGCTTCTCCCACAGCTACTGCGTTGGCTCAAGCACTGTTGCGTTCGCCTTCTCCAGACGTTCCGAAGCCTCGTTATCTTTCGTGCCCATCCACTCCGGTCGCGGCTGTCCCCGTAGTCGAAATTCAAGATAATGGCGGTGTAGAAGACGTGGAGGTATCGCCGACAGGGGAGACACACAGCGAGACTGGCTCTGTTAGTCCGCCTCCGGAGTCCACTGCGCTTTCGGATCGCCATTCGTCCGATAGCGAAAACAGCATCACCCTTCCGGCACGCCAAGTGGCTAACAGAGTTTTCTCTTCCGTTGACTTCGACAATCTTCCGCCACTCCAGCAACCACGGGATCGGTGGATTCCCAACTAGCTGGCGCCCTCCCGACGGGTAGCTTCCGAGATCGCTCCATGGTCCGTTTCGCGGATCGCGATGGTTTGCGTGAGGACCATGACCATTGAGCTGTTGTTTCACCACTACTCCAAGCCCAGGAATTTTCTGTTTCCCTTCTACAATCATGGACGAGCTCCGCCTACGGGGACTTGGGCTTCTGGGCTGATCTCGCGGCAACACATCGAGGCTCTTTACGCTACAGCCCCTTGGCATAATATCATAGTCCCAGTGAACCCGATATCGTTCACCATGACTGGGTGGTATCGTGATATGAGTCATCGGTACCTGGAGCTTGAGTCCACTCATCGACAAGCTCTGTGGGAATCCACTCATGCTTTCCCGACTCCTCCGGCTCAACGGCGATCTGAACGGTTCATGCAGACAATCTGGCGCCAACGAAAACAACGCCGTTCTCGCTTTGGAGCGCGTTGGAAGAACTTCTTGAAGATGATACTCAGCGGCATGATCGCTGGCCACTGCGATCTCGACATCTTGCTAGATCTCTTCTTCCTCCACTATCCGCGCCCACATGAAGACCGAGTTTGGTATCCAGGGTTAGGACACTCTAACGACCCAGCTGACTTGCTAGGGGCGTTGGACATGGCAGACCAAGAGGATCATTGGCGCAACCAGTTCCGTAACGCCTATTGGGATCATCCCGGATCGCAGATCCCTCGTCTGCAGGACAAGTTCAAACCTGCTCCATCGTCTTAGTCCAAGATCGATATCCAAGCCCGATCGTCTTTCATAATCGTGTAAGTCATTCAATCATCTTATTTTTGGTACTTCAATTCTTTGCAGCTTCCACGATCTTGATCCTCATCGCTCCACATCATTCAGGAAGGTAATTCACTTGACTATCTCCATACTCACATACAAAAACCTCATCCACCAGCATGTGCTACCGTCTAGCACATCTTTCAACCCCTACATCCGCATATGCTACCTCCCGCATACTTGTTCGAGCTGTTAAGGTTCGTCCAACTCGCCTTCATGAGACTGCATTACGTCGAAACGGTTTCGACTCACTCGGTTCCGCTCAAACTCTTGCAAGATCGCCCCACAACTTAGATCGGCCTCGTCCACCCAACTTAGATCGGGATATCCCTTCCACTTCACCAGAAACTGCCGGTGTACTCGCCCATAACGGGTTTTTCTACCAGATCGCACGTCCAATATTGCCTCTACTTCGTATTCCCCTTCTTCAAGATCGCCATCCCAACTGTCTTCTGGCAGCAGAGATTCATCGAAATCCAAGCGATCTGATTCCTCTATCGTAGCTGATCCTTTGGGCGTTCAGGGAACGTCTTTACCTTTTTTAGCTTCGATGTATGTACAATCGGAAATAATCGATATGGGGTTCCAGCGATCTCCAATTTTACAGCATGATCTCCACATACGTCCGCAACTCGGAATGGCCCATGCCACATGTGCGCTAGCTTCTTCGCATATCCCTCTTTAACTCGGTCCAGGTATAGCCAAACTTGCGCTCCTACTTCGATCTCGTGTGGTTCCAGATCTTCGTTGTGTCGGTCCGCTCGCTCCTGGATCGCGGCTTGTAAACGATCGTTCACTGCAGATCGGGCTCGCTGGTATTGTCTTTGGATTTTGTATCTCCACCTCTTTGGATCGCGATCTCGTGTCCCCGTATTCCCCACTGGTAGCGTAGCCTCCAAAGTCGATCGCGGGTCCCACCCATGAATCAGATAAAACGGGGTATCCCCCCGGATCCGATCTTGTGCAGTGTTAATGGCAAATGTGAGCCGCTCAGCATACTCATCCCAGTCTCGCTGGTCAACTTCAGCCACGTACATCTTGAGCGAATGTGTCAGGGTTTGCACGTTCGGCTGTTCCATTTGCTTGTGGCCTGTAAGCCATAGTAGCACGCTGTTTTTGTCCTACGATCCGACTGAAGGCTCGAAAGAAGTCGGACATAAATCCCGGTTCTCGATCGTGCCTGATAGCCTTGCTAGCTCCGAAGCGTCGAAACACACATTCTTCGTAATTCTCCGCTATTGTTTGTGCCGTCCGAGAGGAGCTAGCCTTTGCAATCACATATCCCGAGAAAAGGTCGACCCAAATGAGCAGTTCGGTGTTCCCCTTGATGGACTTGGGCAACGACGGTATATGATCCATGGCGATGATCTGGAATGGATAGGTTGCGTGTAGATTGCCCGGGGATTTCCCATGAATCATCGGGTTTCCTTTCCCGGTCTCACAGTCGGTACATTCGCCCACATATCGTTGAACGCTCCGATACAGTCCTCTCCAATGAAATCGCGATCTGATCCTCTGATAGGTTCGGCCAATACCCTGGTGGCCTCCTTCCAGACTGGTGTGGTAGTGATGCAAAAATCCTGCTGCAACGTCTCAGGGATCACCAACCGCATCAAACCATCGCGATCTTCCGACTCTCTTTTCGCCATGGGGCAAAAAAATAGCAGATTGTTCTCATCGATCTCGTATTCCGGCGCCAGTTTGGCGCACATCTTCACTTCTACCGCATCCAAGTTTGATACATCGCCACTTAGATATGTCTTGAGATTGACAATCCAACGCTCTTCATCTTGAGCTTGGACAATTCGTTGAATCCTGATCCTCTGTACTATCTCCTCCTGTATCACTTCAGGTTCATGACGTATCCTCCTGGCTGATCTCGCGATCGCAGTTACCCGAGCTAGCTGACCATCTTGCTTGGGCTTCAACAATTCATCGAGACGGTTCAGAGTCATCAGATCTTGCCGATCCTCTTCAGCTACAACCGTTCTTCCCTTTTCGCTCTGCAATGATGTGCTGGCTAGTCGATCTGCGCTCTGATTCCACTCTCGCTTCATATGCAGAAACTCGTGACTAGGCCATGACTGCAGCTTCTCCAACGCTTTGTGTCTCAGAAGCTGAAGGCCCGGTGCCTTGCAGTCGATCTCACCGCGCATCTGTCGAATCACCAGACTGGAATCTCCACACAGTATTACTCGCCCCCTATCCAGACCGGCGAGTAACTCAAAGCACAGTAGCAAGCCATTATACTCAGCTTCGTTCACAGTCAGATCGTGAACATATCTCGATTCGGCCGCCACGATCGTCCATTCGGGTAACTTCCATTTCACGGCACTGAACGACCCTCCTTTCTTTTTTATCCTAGCCGATCCATCGAAACTGGCCACCAGCAACTCCTCATCTGTTTCCACCGTTGGAGGAGGCATCGATATTTTGAGTCGACAGTCTTTTCGTGGGGAGATCGCAATCAGCATCTCTTCCACTTCTCCTCTCGGAGTGATACTCGCTGCTAACATGCCCAGGATCTCTTCCTCTCCTCTTTCACATTTCTTCACCTCCATAGTCCAATTTGACAACAAAGCAGCCCACCGTCCTAATCTCCCGTTGAGCCCTCGAGACTGCATCAACCAGGCTAACGTAGAATGTCGGGTCAGTACAGTGATCTCCCGCGAGGCAAGCGTAGTATAGCATACATCCAACAAACGAAGTAGCGCCAGCACTTCTTTTTCTACCGTTCCGTAGTTAAGCTCATTAGGCTTTAAATTGCGGCTAGTAAACGTCACCGGATGGTACACGCCATCGTACTCCTGTATCAGGGCCGCTGAGACAGCCCACTTGCTAGCGTAGACCACGATTACGGGGGACCGATCTGGGTCGAAATGCTTGAGCATGGGAGCTGTAGCTATCTTAGCTTTTAGCATAGTGAAAGCAACCTTGGCTTCCGTCCATCGACCCTCGTTGGAGCATTCGTCTCCTGCTGCAAGCTGAGATCGGCCGATCTCGAAGAAATCCGATTCTCTTAACTCATACAACACCGCGAAATCCTCAATGAAGCGACGGTAGTAGTTCAAGCTCCCGAGAAAGGATTGCATAGCTCGTATCGTGCTAGGAAACGGGATGTTAACCAACGACTCTAGGTTCTTGGGCTGAGCCTCCAGACCATCCATCGACACTCGATGTCCCAAATAATCGACCTTACGGCACCCCCAAAAGCTCTTCGTGAGGCTGATAGACAGATTCAACCTATCACATGCCTCCAGCAACCGTTCTACTTTTGTGTACAAAGATACCCATGACGTGGCTGGTATGAGAATATCGTCAATGTAAGATCGGCGTCCCAGTATAGACGGTCGTCGATCTGTCTCAGGCTCTCCATCTTTGAACACGTCGATCGGGCCATCAGAGGCTGATCTCTGACCGATCTTGAGATATCCATACAACGCATTGTCCACCAGACGTTGGTAGATCTGGGGCGCGTTCTTAAGCCCAAAAGGCATTCGCAGCCACTCGAACAAGCCAAACGGTGTGACAAACGCTGAGATCAGTTTTGCTCGTTCAGTCATTTCGACGACCCAAAATCCACTAGCCATGTCTAGCGAACAGTACCATAGAGCTTTATCCAGATCTTCCAACAGATCACTGATCAACGGCATGGGATAAACCATCAGACGCGTCAGCTGGTTCACTCTTCGATAATCAATGCAAAGGCGAATATCCACTCCGTTCTTCTTGATGATCACCACTATCGGAGACGCCCAAGGTGACGTGGATGGCTGAACGATTTTGGCTGCTAATAGTCCTTTGATGAGATCTGACAGCTTCTCCCGATATTTGGGTGCGAACGGACGCACTCTTTGCGCTATCGGTGCTGCCCCACCGACATCAATATCACAGATCGCGCCTCGTGCTGCTGGTGGTAGAGCATTACCTTAACCCATGAGGAGATGACGGCTCTTTTGATCAGCGATCTGAGCCGTTGTTGATCTGTGGTGAGAAGCACATCGGGATCACCGATCTGAATGTCCTCAATCGTAACTTCTTCCGTAGTCGCCGACATCTCTGGTAGCACGGCCATATGCTGCTCGATATCTTCCGCAAACAAATCTCCGCTCTCTTGGTGATAAACTGGTATTTCTGCGATCTCGACGTCTTCAGTATTTAGCATTATTTCTTCTTTAGGCTCCTTCGTCTCTTCCGGCTGGCCCAATTTCAACAGTCGGTCAGTCGGCTCAGCCTTCGGTAGAGACGATCTGTCACGTAGCCCTTCTTGACCGGTGTCGCGGTCTCCCTTCTTTGCATGTTGGGTACCGATCTCATGACCGTTCTCCATCCGCGATAGTTCGGCTCCCCTGACCGTTACTTCCCTCGCAACTACAGCATCTGCCTTTTGCGAATCGTCATCGTTAGCTTGCGGCGTTACCGTGGAGATCGCCGGAGACAGGTTCTGTAACGCATCAGACGGACGTTTCAAGATGCGTTTGGGAGCGGCATACGTAGGACGATCTACCAATGGTCCGATCGGTTCTTTCGGGAGTTCGTTCACTCGATCCGTCGTAGCCTCATATGCCAGAGTTTGCCATTCCTTGTACTTCCCCGACCCGACTGTCACCAAACCTTGGGTTCGCGGTACCATATCGCCTTCGACCCACATGCCTAATATAGTGTGGGTGGGCAGTATGATCTCACGGTCGCCAATGTTGGTCATCTGCAGGTATTTCATCTTACCCCACCCCGAGATCACAGTGGGGACCCAATCTAGTCCTCTAGCGACCCACAACTTCATCTTAGCCCCTCCGATCCCGATCTTCACTTCCCTTGACTCTCCGACCGGGATCACCACGTTTTGGTCCTTCGCCGTTATATGTTGTATCTTCGATCCGTACGCGGGGCGACGTCCTGCGAGATGAATGCGGATTTCTTCTGGTAGACATAGCGCGCCATCCGCTAGATCGAGCCGCACTCCAGCAGGCACCATAAAATCCATACCCACAATCGCTTCTTGCCCTGCCAGATCGCCTACCCATACATTGAAATAGTATACCAGCGATCCCGCGAGGGTCACCTTGATCTTGGTACGTCCTACCGTCATGTACGGAGTTTCTCCAATCCCGATACATTCTTGTCGTTGACTTTCGTCAATATTGCAACCGACCTTACGAGCAAAGGTGGTGTCAATGATCGACACTTCAGCACCAGAATCAAATAACAGAGTAGCTTTTACGTTGTTGATCTTGCCAACGGCTTTCGCTTGTTTGAACCACTTCCCGGGTGAATAATGTTTCCAGTATCCGCGAGATTCAACATAAGCGAGCTCGATCTCCATAGCTGGTTCAGATCGTGAGTACTCATCGATCCGCTTCAGATGGGACACGGAAGCGACACGTTTTAACTTCGAACGAGATATATTTGTTTCCACGTCAATATCCTGCTTACTCTCGCGATCTGTCTTCTTTTTTTTCACGTATGCAATAATGCAGAGCCCAGAACGCTCGGCTCGTACCAGATTCAAACCTGGCGAGCGTCCTAGTTTAACATCTTCTCGGCCTTCTCTGGTAGCATCCCCGCATGCTTATTCGGGACGTACCACTGACGGATCATGTTGTAGAACTCCTCCATGGGACACTTCCCCGGGTCGTGCATCTCACCGCAAGCACGACACACGAAAAAACAATTGTCAGAGGGGTGTCCTTTACGCCCACACTTCTGGCAAGTGAGCCGCTTCCAGCAACCGAGATCTCCATGCTTGGTCGATCCGCAATGAGTACACGGCTTCAATGGCATATTGCGATCTTGATAGTCTTGACGAGTGTTCGGGTCGACCGATCTCGCGTTTGCTGCAACGTCATTGGGGGATGAACGGCGATCCGCAGTAGCAGCCACATGGATCGATCTCAATCGATCTTCCAAATCCGATCCGCAGGTGTCCGATCCTGACTCGCTGCAGACGTCCTCGGTACGGACCATCCTTACCGCTCGTGCAGGCTTAGACAGCGCTGGACCCTGAGTTCCCTTCTGCCTGAACTTGGACGATCCCATCATCACTTTCCCTTGACGCGATCTCCCTTGTTGATATCCGTGCAGTGTCTTTTGCATGGCTCCCGCGTCTTCTACATTCAGCAGTAGCAATGGACAGATCGGGGTCGTCAAAGGTGTCAATGAAATGGTTGACATGTTCCTTGCGCGCAGCTGGCAATCCAGTCATCACCGGTATCTTCGCCCGCATTCCCATCACATTAAGCCGATACAGGTACTGTAAAGGATCTTCCTCCGATCGTTTCTTTGCGTGGTAGTACTGCCTGCTCGCGGACATCCCGTGTCCTGCATACTCCACAAGAAAACTGTTCATCAATTCTTTCCAATTGAATCTCGTCGATCTACTCAGCTGTCGGTACCAGTAGCGGGCTGGGCCCACCATGAGATCACCGAAGACCAGACATCTCTCCTCGTCCGGTGCTTGGTCCCGGATAAACGCTGATTTCACTTTGCCGATCCAGGTCCGTGCTTTGTCTTCTTCCCGATCCTTCCCTGAGAATTCTTTCAGCTCAGAAATCGCTGAGATTCTGATCCTCTGCGTGATGCTTCCCCCTCCGGTAGTCGCACCGGTCGCGGTTACATGAGGGCGCCGTGGTTCGGGCATCCATAGATCATCCGGGTCGTATTCCGCCGCCTCATGGATATGTTGGTAAATGTCCGACCCCACCGACTCCATCTCCACATCCGGCATGTCAAGGCTTTCGTGTGAAGGTTTGAGCAAAGTACGTCGATCTGGGTAGCGGTTTGGCTGTCGATTCATTCGCTGAGCTGTACGTTGATCCGCCTCGTACTTCTTCATGGCTGAATTGAAGTACCGACTTAGATCGCCCTCTTCTTGATCCTCCAGCCCAGTGCGGGTACTGGCCGATCTCTGCGGCATGTTGCTCTTGGCTTGTCCCTTATAGGCGTCGATCTTGGCTTGTCCGATCTTGTCCTTTAAGAACCTTCCACCCGATGGTCCTAGAGACATCTGACGAATGCTGATGGATCCATCTGACTCGCTCTCGGAGTCATCCGAGGCGTAGCGGGGCGATCCCGCGGGGTGTTTACGGAGCGAGCCCGAGGGCGTCCCGATCTTGTCTTCAGGAGTATTCGCTTTGCCCACCAGCATTATCATGATCTCTACAAACTCATTCGCCGCGTCCTTCAACTGTTCCAAGCTGCAACTCAGCAGTTCATCTCCATCAAAAGCGTCAGGGCAGATACCCATGTCGTCCAACATCTGCAAAATCAAATTGATCTCGTCGACTTTGTTGGTCCCGTGAAGTGGGACCGAGATCGGCTTATCCAGAGGACCAATCACCTTGGGCCTTAATATCTTGAACACTGGGTCCGTCTTGAGCAGCGTCTTCAACTGGCCATAATAGTACTGCCATTTTTGCACGCTCCCGCGCTTCACCCGTCGTCTCCTTCTCCCTGGACGCGATCTTTATTGGGTTATATTCCGTCTTTGGCATCGCGATCTTATCTGGTGTTTCATCGTATTCCTCTTTGGCTCCGATCTTTGATTGCACGGTTCGGCCGATCTGGCGATCTTTGACATCTGATCCCATCGATCTCGTCGCGGATCGTTCTGATGTGGTCGATCTCGCGATTGTGCTCTTCGGCTTGAGGTCGGGCGATCTATCGACTAAGATATAGGGTTTGGCTTTCGCCGATTTGGTTTTCACCATTGGATTTTCATCCAGCAGATCGCTCTTTGCAGAGCGATCTGCGGTGGCCCCGAAGGGACCCTAGGAGGGAATTGAGGTTTATCTTCCAGATCGATCTCTCGATCTTCCTCTTTCATTTTCATTTCATCAGAGCCCCTCCCAAAACTCTGATGATCTGAGGATCTTGTGCTTCTGCGTGTCTGCGTCGATCCCTTTGTCGCTGACACTTCAATCCCAGGTTCTTGCTTAATCTTGACATCTTCGCCAGTGGACTCACGGTGAAATCCAGAGGCCTCAGAAGATCCGGGCACGCGCACCATTGTGGTGAAGTCGATCTCACAAAATTGCTTGTATGAGTGTCGATCTTCCACTTGCCCAGACTTGCCGACTCACGGAGGGTACTCCGATCCGTGCCTTGTTGTATGACCTTGTGCTCACCTTGTGTACCCGTCGGTTGGGCTGGCTTGAGCTCTTCGTAACGGCCTTGGGAGATGTCGATCTCGCTGAGAGGTTGGGTTGAGGGTTCGCTTCCGGTGCGGAAATCTTCACACCACGAACGGGGGTTCTGCGATCCCGATCTTGGATCGCACCGATCTTGATTTGTCTTCGAGATCGGGGTCTTTGCTGTGCGGAAATCTTCACTCAGCAAATAAAAGTCCTGCGTCGATCTTGCCTTGGGATCGGTCCGATCTGGTCTTGGGATCGGCCGATCTTGCCGGAAGTGCGCAATTTGGGTAGATCGGTGTCTTGTTTCGCCAAAATGAAACGTGCCGATCTGTCAGGGGATCGCTTCGATCCTGCTCGGTCTTGTCTTGAACGCCTTGTCCAGATCTTCTGACCACTTGAGCCGTCTCGCGATCCTGTGTCCAAAATCCTTTTCCTTTTCCGTTGTGTGCTGCTACCCTAGCAGTTGAGTTGAGTGTGAGTGCTTGATCGATCCGGGCCAGATATCCCGGGATCGCTCTTCTCGATCTTGGCCAACAATCCAAGATCGGTCTTCTGTGTCCCTGTAACACGCGTGCCTTAACCCGCCGGGGAAGCCAAATCAATCTTGCCTGGAGAAGAGGGGAGGATAACGTGCGTCGTGAGCAGAAGAAGTAGAGTTCAAGTCTGTTTATTAACCAACCAAATTACTATCCAACCTACCCTTAAGCCTATTCTTAACTATAGGTCACTCTTCAAACCGATATCGCCTTGAATCTGGTTCGCCCCCTTGCCACGCGTCGAAATTCCGTGCCCTGTACTCCAATGATAGCGCCAATATTCCCGATACCGTACCTGAACGCCAAAAGAGGACCAACTCCCAAATGGGGTACCAAATACCCATTCTTGGCACCCAAGTACCCAATATATGACCCAAAATGCCGAATGTGTCCAAATTCACTTTGCGACGTCAATTCGGACAGCTTCCACTGGCTCTTTCGGCATGAAACTTCTTGACATCACTTAGTGACCTCTATCAAGTATATTCCACATGATCCAGTATCTTCATCAACCATATATTCATGATCAGTGTGGAACATGACCGATCTGTCATCCAATATCGAGATGTTGGAGGTCGATCCGGTCTAAATCGGCAATTAACACTTTTTCATCTCCTCATACGTGCTTCAATATCATCCTCCAGTGTTATCCAATCGACAACTTCATTCATACGTCTCGACATCGGTTTCCTTGGCTCCCTGAGTATGCAAAACTTCCAGATCGGTGTATAATTAACCAAAATCAGTACTCCCAATTTAGGATCGGTAAAGAGTATCACCGATCCGTATGGTGTTGCACCTTCTTTGCCGATTCACCGACCCGTACCACCTGGTCCCAGATGCACTTTGGGGAGTCACCTTGTCCCAGATGTGTCAATTCTCCAACAAACCGTTGCCACAACATGTCGATCTGCGATCTGATCTTAGCCTGCTTCAATGTACGTATACTTCTTCTTGACCGGCATTCCAATGAGCTGTATGACTTCATCCCGATGTCTGGTTCCAGATCGCCCCATAACATTCTGCAAGATGTTACACCTTCGTCGCGGGTCATATCCCATCACCCGGTCCCAGATCCTTGTCCCAGATTGTTCCATGTAAATCGTTCCAGATCGCTCCGTCCCAGGTCGACCCATACCCATTAGTCTAACGACAGTTGGATCGGTTCGCCGATCCCGTTAAGATCATCTTCCACCTCCGTATTGGATCGCCGAGTCTCATGGCCTCCTTTTCCACCAGTAAACGGCGCTTTAAAGGTGTGGCCACCGATCCTCGTACAAAATTTGAGTAGTGACTTTGCCACACCTTCACATTCTTGATCATGTTCGTGGCCACCATTTTGCGAAGCACATCAGCTGGAGCGTGTCCCATTCGCGCATGCAAGTCTACACCGTTGCATCCGTTTGTTGTCGCATTGGCCGATCGATGAGCTGTGTGAAGCCAGTAACGACCATCCACAAGATCTGCTGTTGCCACCACTTGTTGCGATCCTTTGCGAGCGACAAACATCTTGGTCCCGTTGAACACGACTTGAAACTTGCCGTGCTTGTTGATCTGCGGTACCGATAGTAGGTTCTTTCTCATGCTTGGTACGTAAAGCATGTTCTTGATCTCGATCTCGCGCTCTTCACCGTCGGGCAGAACCACCTTTTCAAAGATGGTTCCAACACCCTTGATGGCCACTTTGTTGCCATCTGCCACCAAGATTTCACCGTCGTTGCGCTTGTTCAGTCTTGCAAACTTGGTCTTGTCGTGGCATATGTGGTGTGTTGCACCACTGTGGACGGCCCACATTCCGGACACGTCCTTCTTCGCTGAGAGTCCAAACTCTAGCGAAACTGCAAACGCTACTTGATCGTAGTCGCTGCCTTCATCACGATATTGTCCGCACTGGACATTGTTTGCCCCGCGTCCACGACCATTGCCGCCGCGTCGGGCTCCTAGACTTTCATTCTTCTGCTTGGACGAACAGCGATCGACGGTGTGTCCCACCTTCCCACAGTAGGTGCACTTGTATGGCTCCCGCTTAGTGTTGAAGGCCTTGGCTGCATCTTCAGTCTTGGCCATCGTCGCTGTTGTTGTCGTCTTCTCCCCTTGGCGCTTGGTGTGCTCATTCGTGAGCACTTTCACCACATCTTGGGTACGAAGCTCCGCGCTGCTCATCTCCAAGTTTAGAACAACGGTCTCAAAACTCTTAGGGAGGCTGAGCAGCAGGCAAATTGCGACGTCCTCGTCCTCCGTCTTCGCACCGAAGCTGCTAGGCTTGACAGCGATGTTCAGGACCTCGTTGCAGTGATGCATGACGTTGGCGCCTTCATCCATATTCATGCTGAAGAGTTGACGCTTGAGGTAGATCCTTCCCGCTTTCTGGGATCCACCGTACAGCACCTTCAGGCTCTGCCACGCAACCCACACTTCCTCGCAGTTGTAGACCACATGGTGGTAGTCCGCACCCATGTGCAGCAACATCGTTCCAAACGCGACGTTGTTGGCCTTGACGTAGTCGTCCTACGCTCGAGGGTCCAAGAACGGCGGGGAGCTCTCCCGGTTGACAGCATGCCACACTGACTTTGTCAGGAGCACGCCACGCATGCATCGACTCCAGGTCTAATAGTTGTCCCCATCGAACTTATCGATGAGGACGTTGGAGGATGCGTGGCCGGCAGAAGACATTGCGCTTGGGCTCATAACCTGTTGAAAGGTATGACACGGGAGTGACGAGAAGACCGGAAGAGACCGGAGGGAGCGAAGAGGCTCGAGGAGCGGAGCAGAGAAGACTTGCTCGGCAGAAGGAGAATTCGAAAGTGATTGATTATCGGGGCTTACTACTACTACATGATTTATATGTGGTGCCCGCATAAATCATGTGAAGCGTCTCATCATCCTACGCGTCTAATCAACTATGGTAATTACCGTAAGAACTACGTCGTAAATACTAAGCTGAATAGGCGGTTCGGATTGGACCGATCACGGTTATCAATACTGGTAGGAAACTGATGACCGTTAACAGGTCCGCCAAGTTTGGGGTGGCTTTATGATTTATCACGTGTCATGATGTTGATTCGGTAAGGAACACGTCACGCATCTACCGGCTCTAAGTCGCTTGGTTGTCTCTGTTGAACCTAACAACGAAGATTCTGTTCGTGGCATCTTAATCATACTCCATGGAACTTAGGCTCATAACCCGTTGCATTGAAAGATACTTGAAAGGAAGTTTGGAGCAAGAAAGAAGTATTTACCGAGGGGTAAAGAGGTCTTGCATAGATGAGATGATGTTTGGAAGTGACTGATTTATATGTCTTAGCTCTGCCAACTCTAGACTGAATTCAATCACATGGTACATCTAATCAATCTGATTCATGTGCGTCCAATAAACTTTACTCGTCTAATTAATAAGTGACAACATCTCGATGAAGTCACAGACTTACCGAAATGACGCGACACCGGATTAGGCAGGGTAACCGGTACAAAGTACCTTCACCGATAATCCACAACAGAATTTAAGTGGTCTGTGAGAATTAAAGGAGCGCGAGATCGCGGTTAAAAATATGAGGCAATATCGTTTACTGAGGCAATGTGAACGAGCTTAATCGGAAGTGAAAGGTCAAATAAATCTGCAATACAAAAACGATCAGATTGACAAAATGGCGATCTAGACCAACTTGAGGTTAAAGTATGTTTTAATGTGTGGCTGTACCTGAATCATGTTTGAAAAGGGAACGTGAGAAAGTTGGCGCATAAGTGGTATGAGTTCTATCGGTTGGCATAACTATGCGGCGATCACGCAGTGCTACTGGAGATAGCCGACGCCCCTTATCGGCTGTTACCTATCGTGCATCCGATAAAGTTAAACGGCTAAGGGATTTCCTATACCTACAGAAAGGCGAGCTGGAGGGGAGAGAATGATGTTGCTTTAATTTTGATTAAGCTCTTCTATTTTTTAGGTAGGCAGCTGTTCTGTCGATATCGGCGAGGATGAGTCTAAAGTGGAGATTCTAATTTCTGTGCAACCTGGCCGGAGACTCACTATGGGCGAATACAAATTTAGTTTTAGTACTATGGAAATGATATCCCGAATTGAGCTGGGTATGTGAAGCTAGCCTGAGATGTGGGTCTTACCTGTAGGAGCTTGTAAATTATCGAGTAAGTCAAAGTCAATTCGTAATGGTGCATATGCGTGCGAGTAAATCGGAAGATCTCTACAATAGGGGATTAAAAGTGTGATCGCAGCACACGTTGGAGGATAGGGTTGTTTGTTTGCGAATAGTATTTTGTGTGATTACCAGTTTGTTGATGGAGATCACGATCGGTTTAACGTGGGAAACAGATATAAACCAGTTAGTGAGAGATGAAAGGCAGGCTCGATTTAAAATAAACAAACTGGGATTTTAAGACCACGGCCCGATCTTAACCTAATACTAACAACAGGCTTGACCTTTTCGTGTAGACTTCGATGTCTCGATTCAGGTAATCCCGACTAGAGTTGCGAAACTTGTTATGTACTGATTCTTCGTTGTCCTCGAACGAATTCCGCAAACAAGTCAGCCGGGCCGACTTTACGGCACTTACCAGAGTATAAAACTTGCTATTTTATGGAAGCGCGGATGATGTAGAAAGTAGGGGTCCAACAAAAGGTCCAGATAGTTAAGACCAGCTATCGACCCCTAAAAAATTTCAGGAAAGTTTCAGAATGATTATAGCGGGACCGGTGCAGATGCGCTGCAGCCAGAAAGCATTTTTAATTGACCAGGAGACGCTGGGATGAGGCGACAGGGCAAGCATGAGTGAATTTACACAAGGACTGTAGATGAGACCATCCCGTCATGCTAAATGGCATGGGATCGACAAGTACCATGGTTGCATTACAAGAAAAGTAATCAAACAAGGGCTTGATGTGCCGATGCAAGATCAGTGTTATAGACGAAGTCCCATTGGGCGGATCTAGACCATGTAAACAATGTAGAACGAAAATGATTAGCGTCGAATATCGGTGAAAAAGCAGATAGACGGTTATCGTTACCACACAAACCGTAACAATTCATGATGCTGTACAGCAATCAATCTTGGTAGGGTCTCAACGAGACGGTGTCCAAAAATTTAAAATACATAAATGTTGATGTTGTTGGAGGGACTGAAGAGTGGCAGACTTAATGGTTGACGGTCATCGCTTGTCTACCTGTACTGGTATCTATGACAGGTTCAATCCGAACAGCCTACTCAGCTTAGTATCTACGACGTAGTTTTAACGGTAATTACCATCGTTGATGAGACGCGTAGGATGATGGAGGTTACACATAATCTTTATGTACACCACATAAGCCCCGATAATCAATCGCTTTCGAATCTTCCAACTAGTGAGCAAGTGTCTTCGCTCTACTCCCTTCGGTCTTTCCGCTCCCTTCTCTTCGCTCCACCCTCTACAATGCAATATCAATTAGATCCAGAACGGGTGTGAATGCCTTGTGTGCTGAAAAAGTTATACTGCTATCGCTATCCGATGCATGGATAGCCGAGAAAACGCCAGGGTATTTAAAAAAACAAAATTGTTGTTCTCACCTGCTGCAATCCCAACTGTCGGATAGTCCGAACCGTCTGAAGCGTTGTCGTCCTAAAACTTACTACTGGATCAACAGTCACCGTATATGACATAAATCGAGGCTCGGGCCGATTGAGTGACGGTGATCCTAAAAACGCTAAGACCGAAGCAGCCGACATTGGTGATGTAGGATCAAGAAAAGCTGCTGGCGTCTGAACAGATTAAGTAGGGTGATATGTCGACCCATCTTTACGACGAACAGCTGATCTTGACTTCGATGATACGAAAGGCGTATGATCGTCCAAACTGGATCTAAATGAACCTCCACCACCCGATACAACATCGGACGAAAAAGGGTGAATTGAGGGAGATGGAAATGATTGACTTAAAAATTGGAGTGTGGCTGAAGTGACAGACGCCAAAGATCTCGCTGGGGACTTCGATGGGTTCAAATTTAGAACTTGGTCTCAGTGCAACTAAAAAAAGGATAAAGAAATTGACATCTGGATCGAAGACGCCGGCTTTAGACGGCTAAGTAGTTGATCACCACCCCTACCTTTGGACGGGCAATGTGAACCTCTGAGCTGGACAGAGTGATACTCCTGGGAGCGGGTCCTTTGGGTACGGTCATCGTTAAGATCGTAATAACCTCTGATTTAGTGTGCTTAAAAACGCACGATGACTGGCGATCTCCTGATCCCATTCTTGCTTCATCCCCCATAAATGATCGCGCACGGTAACATGAGTGACGTCATCGAGATGACGTCATAGACTTCCCAATGTGACGCGAGATTGGATTGGGCAGGGTAACCAGTAACCGGTACGAAGTACCTTAACCGATAACCCTTTATAATTCTTGTCGATGACTTTCGCCGATGACACAACCAACCTAATGAGCAAAGGCGGTCCAGATGATACATGCTTTAGCACCAGATCATTATAGCATACTTTACCTTCATTGTTGGAAGGGTTTGCCTGCTTGAACCAGCTTTCAGGCATTTTTTATATCGTCGCGGTTCCCAACGAGCAAGTTTAATCTTCACCGTTGGTTCAGACATTAAACACTCATCCATTTTTTTCCAAATTATAATTGTACGCAAAACAATGTAGTCTTAAGTGGTTTTTATATGTCTACTCGCTGTTTTTTTTCACGATCCATCCGTTTTGCCCACAATTGCGAGAGAAAAAAGGCAAGAATTCTTGGCTTGTACCCGATTCCAACCTGGCGAGCGTCCTACTACAACATCTTCTTGGACTTCTTTGGCAACATCCCTGCATGTTTAGTGAAGACATGCACTGGCAGATCATGCTATAAAACTCATTCACCAGAAAATTCTACGGATCACGCATCTCACGACAAGCCCGGCACACAACGAAAAAACGTCGACGACGGATCACGGATTTTTTGGCCCGTGGGCCGCTTATCATCCCAGATCGTCGTGATTGATTAATCCTCAGTGATTACGCGGCTTTGTGGATATACCACGTTCCTGATACTATTGGTGATCAATGGGGTCTGTCGATCTTAGGCGTGCCGATTAATTTCTTGGTTGCTTCTTGTTAAAAGGTGTGAAGCTTGGTGACCGAAACTGGTAAGGATGCTGGGCAGTCCATTCGGAAGAACGGAAAAGACACTTGGGTAGTTGATGGAAGATTGGAAAGTTATTGATTATCGGAGCTTATCTTCCTACGCCCTGATTTATATGTCCACATATAAATCAGTCGGCGCGTCTGGTCATCCTGCTCGTCTAATCATTCCTGCGTATTCTTACTTAAACTATCCCGTAAAAGCTACACCTCAGAGTTAGGGTTGTTACGGTAACCTTCAATACATCTGCTGATCTGAAGCAGTTGTTACATGGATCAATCGCAGATTATTACTCTGTTCCGATCCACAAAATTCTAATTCAACCCACTTGCTAATGCTACCAGC